AATTCCATTCTCTCTTGTGAGTGGCAACCTCCTAACCCATTTAGAAAGTTCAGTTTTCAGAATTTCCAGCTCTATGATGATTAGCCACCCTTGGCTTTGTGCAGATATGAGAATTCTAAAATAGCACCCCTAAATTTAAAATGTTTTAGGACTGGGGATGTGGCTCAATGGTAGAGCACTTCCCTATCATGTATGAGGCCCTGGATTTGAGCCCCAGGACAAGAAAAGAAAAGTAAAAAGTCTGGCATGGAGGTGTACTCCTATAATCCTAGCTACTTGTAAGACTGAGATGGGGGGGATTGCAAGTTTAAGGTAAACCTCAGCAGCTCAGCAAGGCCCTAAGACATTTAGTGAGACCCTGTCTCAAAATTAAAAAAAATAAAAACGGTCGATGATATAGCTCAATGGTAAATTTCCTGAGTTAAATTCCTAGTACCCTCCAAAATCTTTAAAGCCAATTAGAATGTATACTAGTGATTATTAGAGGCCAGAAAGGGCTGGGAAAGATAGTATATTATGGGTACTGAAGCTTAGATAGATGGAAGTCACAAGTTCTAGTGTTCAACAGCACTGTGGAGTGCCCATAGTTCACAATAACCTATTATTTATGTTGTGAATAACTAGATGATAAAAGCCTTCAGCTCCAAACATAAATGGTAAGAAGAATGAAGCACTGATTACCCTGATTTTATCAGTAAATATTGCATACTTGTTTTGAAATGTCATACTGTACCACATAATTACAGTAATTACATGTTAATCAAAAGAATGTTTTAAATGTTCAAGGAGTGGGAAATATTAACTACCCTCATTTGAACATTGTACACTGCATACATGCACCAAATTATGGCATTGAACCCACAATTTAGTATGATTGAAATAAATAAAATAGAGCCATGGTTCAGAGGCAGCATGGTTCAGTGCTCAGAAACTCTTGGGACTCAGTGGTAGCTGTAGGAAGAAAAGTCAGGAGAAGAGTCCAGACTCTTAGGAGTTCGATATTGAGAACTTTCTGTAGGAATAAGAAGGAACTCAGAATATTTCCTTAAATATATACATCAGAAGATCAAATCTGAAAGGACAAGATTTGGTCCCTGGGAAAGGAAAAAAGTTGAGCCAAGGTTAAACAATGATGTAAAATTCTCCTTAAAATAATAGCAAACCTAATCCAAGAGCACATCAAAAAGATCACATATATAAATCATTATCTTAGGTATGCAAAAATGCTTCAACGTATGCAAATCAATAAATCTGATTTATCACATCAACTGAAGGAATAATAGAAACCTCATAATTACCTCAACAGATACAGAAAAAAAAGCATTTGATAAAAATCAACATCACTTTATATTAAAATCCTCAACAAATTAGAGAAGGAATGTGTTTCAATACAATAAAGCCTGTATATGACAAAACCCACATCATAATGAATGGGGAAAAGCTGAAATCATTTCCTCTAATATTTGTTCCTCTAATAGGAGAAACAAGAAAAGAATATCCACTTTCACCACTGCTATTCAACATGGTGTTAGAAGATTTAGTCAAAGCATTAAGACAAGAGAAAGAAATAAAAGGCACCCAAATAAGAAAGGAAGAAGTCAAATTATCCTTCTTCACAAGTGACATGATAGTATAATTAGAAAAGCCTAAAGATTGCATTAAAAAGCTGTTGTAAATAATAAATTCAGTGACATTGGGGGGTACAAAATTGACATATAAAAATCATTGTATGTTAATCATCTTTATACACCAATAAAGAGATTGTCACATAAATAATAGCATGTACAATAGTGAAATTCACAAAGAAAAAGGCACAGTGTCTTTATGGCCCTGTTGGGGCTTGGAGACAATATACTCCACAACTAGTAATATTGTTCACACCCATACACTGAATGACACAGGAATCTACCAGCATTAAATGGGATGCAGAGTTGGAAGTGACACCATTGTAGCAAAAATAATCCTGCCACCATAGCCACAAAATACTTCAGACTTTATGGCATTGAAAGATTTAATAATGGGAAGGAAACAATAGGGAACTTATTAAAGCCACGATGTGAGATTTACTAGTATCCTGCAAGTCCATGCCATTCACATTTAAGAAATTTTTGGCTTTTGCAAAGCGACTTCTGATCTGTATCTGATCACTGATAAGAAAAGGATGTTTGCACACAGGTTTGGCAGGTTTTGACATCATCCATACCTCATGATGAGCAGAATCCTGTCATATTCTCCAATCAATAAAATTATACAGGCACATATATCAATAAAATTATACAGGCACAATTAAAAAATGACAAAATCATAGAATTTGCAGGGAAATGGATGGCATTAGAGCAGATTATGCTAAGTGAAGCTAGCCAATCCCTAAAAAACAAATGCCAAATGTCTTCTTTGATATAAGGAGAGTAACTAAGAACAGAGTAGGGACGAAGAGCAGGAGAAGAAGATTAACATTAAACAGGGATGAGAGGTGGGAGGGAAAGGGAGAGAGAAGGGAAATTGCATGGAAATGGAAGGAGACCCTCAGGGTTATACAAAAGTACATACAAGAGGAAGTAAGGGGAAAGGGAAAAATAATACAAGGGGGAGAAATGAATGACAGTAGAGGGGGTAGAGAGAGAAGAGGGGAGGGGAGGGGAGGGGAGGGGAGGGGAGGGGGGATAGTAGAGGATAGGAAAGGCAGCAGAACACAACAGACACTAGTATGGCAATATGTAAATCAATGAATGTGTAACTGATGTAATTCTGCAATCTGTATATGGGGTAAAAATGGGAGTTCATAACCCACTTGAATCAAAGTGTGAAATATGATATATCAAGAAATTTGTAATGTTTTGAACAACCAACAATAAAAAATTTTTAAAAAATAAAAAATAAATTATACAGGCACAACAATGATCTTCACCACAAGGTGAATATGATATATCTGAATTGAGCCAAAGAGCACCATGAACTAAGCTGCAATTCAAATATATAGGAATTCAAATGTATAGGAAAAGCTTCCCATCCCTATCTGCAGTGCTCCTTCCATTGAATAATCATTGTTCACTTTACTGTTTATCCTTCCTAATTATCCTTATGTTCATATACACATACATAGGGAGACACTTTTATTCATCATAGATTTTTGTCTTTTTAAATATGTAATTAGTGCTGTACGTTGATCCATAACTTGATTTTGTTTTCATCTGACAGTGACTGCACAAAATAGTTCTTTCCAGAAAGGATACAGGTGGAGGGAAGAGAAAGTGGAAGTACTGGGGACTGAAGTGGAGAAAATTATATTCCATTTTTATATAATTATGTCAAAATAAACCCCATTATTATGGAAATCTGTAATAATGCACTGATAAAAACATTTTAAAAAATAATTATTTCCAGGTCAGTCAGTGAATACCTAACTCATTCTTTTTATTTGTTGCAAAACATTTTGTAGAAAGATTATTCATTTATTTTCTTCTGATGGATAGTCACATTATTTCTTTTAATTTTTCTTTGACACTACATATAATGCTGCAATATATATCATCTTTATTCATCACTGTTTATATTTCTGAGGTCTAGATTTCTAAATGAGGGGTTTCTAAGTCAAAGTGTTAGGACTCAGGGTATAGAAAGAGAGATCAAATGATGGGAAACAGAACACAGTTACATAGAAGGAATAATTTCTGACCATTTTGCACTACAGTGGGGTGACTATAGTTCACAATAGTCCACTACATATTTTATGAAGCTCTGGAAAAAAGGAGTTTGGAGACTCCAAGCATACAGAAATAATAAGGAGGGGCAAATCTTAAATACTATGACTTAACTGGTACAAACTGTTACGCATGTGATGAAATATCACTCTAAACCCCATTAACATGTACAATTAATACACATTAATTAAAAAAATAATTTTTAAAGAGCATGCCTGGGGTCCTAATTAGAATAAGATATATTCCATGCATATATAATTTTATCAAATACTGTCACATATAACTAAATAGAGCCAATAAAAACAACATATACATTTATCTTTTTAAATGGAAACTACCAAATTTCTGTAAGGAAATGGAGTCATACACTATCAGCAGGAAACAAGTGCACATAGTCATATAAGAACCTCAACATGATTAAAACCATTCATTTTCCTTCTGTAATGAAAAGCATTGCATTTGTTGTTTGTTTTTTTAGAGTGGATTTTTTAAAAAGTATTGTTGTAGATGGACACAATACCTTTATTTTACTTATTTATTTTTATGGGGTGCTGAGGGTTGAACCCAGTGTCTCACACATGCTAGGCAAGTGCTCCATCACTGAGCCACAACCATAGCCCCTATATTTGTTTTAATTTTACTTCATTTACCTTATCAATAATTATTTTGAACATTTTCCCAACATTTTTGGCAATTAGCAATGCCATTTCTGTGGATTGTCTATTCATCCACTGGCTTGTGAATTTCTTTTTGTAGGTTTGAGGCTCTTTGTGTATTAAGGATATTACCTCACTGGTGTCACATCCACAAAAACATTTTCTCACCTTTAATTGTTCTCCTTTTAACATTGTAGTGCTTTGATCTTTCCTTTAGCAATTCCAATTTTCATGTCTGGATTAAAAAAATATTCGCACACTCAAGATTCACCTAATTTTCCCCTAGTATATTTTTACATTTATGTCCTCAATTCATCTCTAGAATATTTTGAAATACTCATCTGTCACAAAGAATAAGACAGAGATGGGAAAAATATTTAAGAACGTCCCCATTTTAAAAATAACCTGTGAAAAGGCCAAATCAGGACTGGCATGCAGCCTTTGATTCCCAATCCAGTGCTCCTTTTACTATATATTTAGCATTAACATCTATGGCCCTGTGTAAATAGAATCCTACCTTACCTAGCTATTAGAAAATGTTTCCTCTCCAACTGTCTCCTAAAAGCATCTTTCACCTCCTTGTTCCTCAAGCTGTAGATGAGGGGGTTCAACATGGGGATCACCACTGTATAAAACAGAGAAATCACTTTTTAATACCCAGAAAGGAACTTGAGCCAGGGCGGACATAGATGAAGAAAAGTGTCCCATACAGAATAGTGACAGCTGCCAGGTGAGAAGAGCAGGTGGAGAAGGCTTTCCACCACCCTTCTGCAGTCTGGACCCTTGAGATGGCCACGAGGATGCAAACATAGGAGACCATGATGATCAGGCCACTGAGAACTCCGATAGCTCCTGCGAAAATGAAGAGCACCCACTTATTGACGGAGGTATCAGCACATGCTAGGGAAAGCAATGGGGAAATATCACAGAAGAAGTGATTCACAGTATTTGGACCACAGAAGGGTAAGCAAAAAGTGAGTGTTGTATGGGTCATGGTGCTTATTAGAGCTATGGTGTAAGGCCCTGTAACCAGCTGCACACAGACTCTCTGGGACATAATGAAAGTATACAGCAAGGGCTTACAGACAGCTGCGTACCGATCGTACGCCATGGCAGCCAGGAGGAGACATTCAGCTGCCACAAAGAGACCAAAGAACCACATCTGGGCAGCACAGCCCACAAAAGAGATGGCTTTTCTCTCTGCAAAGATATCACTCAGTGTCTTAGGTGCAATGGAAGAAGAGGAACAGACATCCACAAAGGACAAGTGACTAAGAAAAAAGTACATAGGAGTGTAGAGTCTGGGATCAAGGCATATGAGAATGATCATCCCCAAATTACCCCCAAGGGTGACAAGATAAGCAAAAAGAAGCAGGATGAAAAGGACAATCCTCTGATGGAGAAGGTCTGTGAAGCCCAAGAAAAGAAATTCTGTCACTGCTGTTCCATCCTTTTCTTCCATTGGTCAGTTGGAATCTGTTGCAAGAAAGAAAAAAAAAACTATTTTATTTCAAAAAAATCAATCTTGACTAAACAAAACAGTTTAAATTTCCTAGAAGAAGACAATTATGTCACATAAAAAATTTATAGAGGAAACTTCCAGTTTATTCAATATAATCAGTTAATTCACTGTGTACATAAAAGCCATCTTCAAGTCCTCTTGTCCTGCGCATTACACAGTCTGTACACATACTGTACAGAACAAGGGACATTTTCTTGGGAATTTTCAATAATTTAGAGCCAGGCCCCTAAAGAATTTGAAACCTCATGGGCTTACACCAAAAGGGACAAAATTTAAATGATCTCAATGGCATTTGGGCCAAATTTTATTTCCTAATAGTATCTTATCTCAAAGCCAAGATTCCTAAGAAAAGTGTGTGTGTGTTTGTGTGTGTGTGTGTGTGTGTTCCTCTTTGGGATCCTCCTTGCCAAAGCCAGCCCTCTTTTCTCTCAGTAGAGACTGATGCATGAAATGGGGTGAAGTAATTCATTGCCTGGACTCTGGAGCCACGTTATTTTGGCATAAATGCCAAATTTTCAGTTAACTGACTGTCACTTCAGAAACTATTTCATCCTGCCCATACCTCATTCCTGTCATCTCGAAAATAGTAACAACAAAGGTTTATAGCTCACATAAATGTTGGAAAGATTGATTAAAGTAGTACACGTACTTAAAAGAGTCCCCAACACAGTAGGTTCTTGTTAATGTCACTTCTTCGAAATCAAAGCATGGCTAGAATACTCAGACTTAAAGAAGTAAGACAACATGGCATTTACTTGTTTTTTTTTTCTTTTTCTTCTTTTCTTTTTTAATCGCCATTTGCTTCTCTCTAGGTAATCTTACAATGCAGTCACTGAAGCCCAAAGGAAGCTGGAGTAGATGAGAAAGTTTTCCCAGGAAGAATTGTCAAGACAGTATGATTTAGGTAAACTGAATTAAGAAGAAAGCCATTCCAGAAGTACTAATTAGATGAGCAGAAACAGAAGCAGGAATAGAAGTAAGGAGATCGGGATGGGACGATGAGAAAATGGGATGATAAGGGTTGAACTACCACTGTCACCGCCTTCTCTGAAGATCTTGATGCTTATCTCATCAGGAAGAGCTGACGTCTCACTCTACAAACTCCCACAACATTTCTTTGGCATCTCACTTTTAACTCCTATTAAGTATCTATCTCAGAAGAAGATAAGCTATATTAGCACCTGACTTAGTATACATTACCGAGGATATCGTTTAGCAGAGATAAAGAGAGAAAATTCATGATACCAAAGGGTCCAACTTAACAAAAATATGTAACAATTCTTAATATTCATCTAAAAAGAGAGCATCAAAATATATGAAGGATTGATGGGACCGGAGATAGAAATAAGTGAATCCACAGTTAGAGTTGGAGATCCCAACAGTGTACTCTCAATATTGATAAAACAAGGAGACTACACATCAAAAAGAATATAGAAGGCTTAGACAACACTATGAACACACAAAAAAAATGACATTTATATAACACTCCAACCAACAAGTTCATAATATACTATCTTTGAGTACATTTAGAATTGTCATAGGGATATTTGATATTTGGAGCCATAAAAAATAGATTTTAATGTTTCTATTAGTGCATTATAATTATATATTATATTGATTTTACACAATAATTATACATAATATGTATGATTTTGACACAATCATACATGCATGGAATATTATTTGCTCCACTTAAGTCCCCAGTGCTTCCTCTTTACCTCCGCTCTTCTCTTCCGCTGTTTCCCTTCCTTTACTCCATTGGTCTTCCTTCTGTTTATCTATTATTTTTTTTTAAATTGGTGTTTTATAGATACACAGAAAAGTAATATTCACTATAGAGTATTATATATGTGCATAGCATATTTTATTAGTAGTATAATTTATTATTATTTATTATCGGGCCTTTATCAGATGTATAGTTTACAGATATTCTCTCGGGGTCTATGAGGTGTCTCTTTACTCTGTTATTTCCTTTGCTGTGAAAAGCTTCTTTATTTAATGCAATTCAGTTTATCTAGTTTTAGTTTTGTTTCTCATGCTTTGGGAGTGAGTCATATCCAAAAAAAATTGTTACCCAAACCAAAGTTGTACAGCTTTCCCCCTATATTTTCTTCCATTGGTTTTACAGTCTCTAGTCTTACATTTAAGTTTTAATCAGCTTGGGGTTATTTATGTATATGATATGAGATAGAGTTCAGTTTCTTTCTTCTGCATGTGGATATCTAATTTTGCCTACAACACTATTGAAGAGTCTATCCCTTGCCTATCATGTAATCTTGTGATCTTTCTCAAAAATCAATTGACCATAAATTAATGCTTTATTTCTGGGCTTTCTCACCTGTTCCATTGGCTACCGTGTCTATTCAGGCTAGTACTGTGCTGTTTTGATTACTGGAGCTTCAAAATATATTTTAAAACCTGGTAGCATGTGCCTCTAGTGTTTTTCTTTGTTCACTTCAGGTCATTTTAAATTTTATATCAACTTGAGAATTCTTTTCTATTTCTCTGGAAAATACCATGAAATTTTTCATAGAGATTGCACTGAATTTTTAGATCATAGATTGAATTTGTAGATCATTTTGAGTAGTATGGGCATTTTAACAATTTAAATTCTTCCAATTCATGAACACAGGACAAATCTCTATTACCTTGTGTCTTCTTCAATTTTTTCCACCAATGGTTTATAATTTTTCAATAGAGAGATTTTTCATCCTAGGTTAAATTTACTCCTATTTTATTTTTTGACACTTTTATAAATGAGATAATTTCTTCTTAAGATAGTTTATAGTTGACATAATCACACATACATTGGTTATGATTTCTTCTATTTCAGTCCCCAGTACTTTGATTCTTTGAAATTTGTTTATTAATTCCATCATGTGTGTATGTGTGCATGTGTGTGTGTATTCTCTATTGTCTCCTACATATAAGGTCATATTGTCAGTAAACAGAGACCAATTTACTTCTTTCTTTCCAAATTGAATCTATTTTTATTTCTTTTTTCTTTCCTAATTGCTCTAGCTAGGACTTCTAGTACTATGTTGAATAGAAGTAGTGAGAATGAACATCCTTATCTTGCTCCTGATTTTTGAGGAAAGCTTTCAACTTTTCTCCATTATTTACGACGTTAGCTTAGGGCTTCTCATCTATGGCCTCCATTATGTTGGGGTACATTCCTTTTTTTCTTTAATTTATATGTTTCTTTTTGTTATACATGATAATAGAATGTATTTTTATATATCACATGTACATGGAGTATAACTTACCATTTTTGTAGTTGTCATGATGTACAGTAATACCAGCCATGTATTTATATATTATATAGGAAAGTTATGTCCAATTCATTCTAGTGTCTTTCCTATTTCCCCTCCCTTTCTCCCAGCCCTCCCACTCCAATCTAATCAGGTGAACCTTCACTCATCCCTCCCCGCTGCCTATTATGAGTACGCATCCACACAGCAGAGCGAATATTTGGCTTTTGGTATTTTGGAATTGGCTTATTTCTTTTTTTTTTTTTTGAATTGGCTTATTTCACTTAGCATAATAGTCTCCAGTTCCAGCAAAAGCCATAATTTCATTCTTTTTATGGCTGAGTGATATTCCATTGTGTATGTGTACCATTCATCTGTTGAAGAGAACCTAGGTTGGTTCCATAACTTAGCTATTGTGAATTGAGCTGCTATAAATATTGATGTGGGCACATCACTCAATAATGCTGATTTAAAGTCCTCTGAGTATATGCCAAGGAGTGGGATAACTGGTTCCATTCCATTTTTTCTGAGGAATCTTCATACTGCTTTCCAGAATGCTTGCACCAATTTTGCAGTCCCATCACAATGTATTGTTATATGTATTCTTGATAATTACCACTCTGACTGGAGTGAGATGAAACCTCAGTGCAGTTTTAATTTGCATTTCTCTAATTGCTATTGATGTGGAACATTTTTTCATATATATGTTGACTGGTTGTATTGTTTTTTGTAAAGTACTTGTTCAGTTCCATTGCCCATTTATTGATTGGGTTATTTGTTTTTTGGTGATAAGTGTTTTGAGTTTTTTATATATCCTAGACATTAATACTGTATTTGGTGTGTAAGTGGCAAAGATGTTCTCCCATTTTGTAGGCTCTCTCTTCATGTTCTTGATTGTTTCCTTTCCTGTGAAGAAGATTTTTAGTTTGATTCCATCCCATTTATTGATTCATGATTTTATTTTTGTGCTTTAATCATCTTGTTTTGGAATTTGGTTCCTAAGCCAACATGATGGAAAGTTGGGCCTACTTCTTCTTCTAGTAGGCACAGGGTCTCTGTTCTAATACATTAAGTCCTTGATCCACTTTGAGTTGAATTTTTTGCAGGAAAGAGATAGCATCTAATTTCATTTTGTTACATATGGATTTCCAGTTCTCACAGCTCCATTTGTTGAAGATGCTATCATTTCTCCAATGTATGTTTATGGTGCCTGGTTTAGTGTGAGATAACTGTATTTATGTGGGTTTGTCTCTGTGTCTTTTATTCTCTATTATTGGTTTTATGTCTGTTTTGATGCCAATACCATGCCATTCGTGGTACTACAGCTCTGTAGTATTTATTGCTTTGGCTATTCTGGGCCTCTTATTTTTCCAAACAAATTTCACAACTGCTTTTTCTATTTCTATGAAAAACATCAAACATCACTAGAACCGTAATATAAATTGCATTAAATCTGCATAATGCTTTTGATAGTATGGCCATTTTGACAATACTAATTCTGTCTATCCAAGAACA